CAAGGTCAATCTAAAGATAATCTCCATTACTAGCAATGACTTGTTGCCAACTGTACGCAAAAAACTTCGCCAAAAGAGCCTCTTTCACTACTTTTCCCCTCGGGTGTGTCGTTAGGTCCGCCGGAGAGGAAATGTAGGTCAAAAGAGCCTCTTTTTGCCAGCTTTTCTCGTCGCAGGTGTGTCGTAATGATGAAACGGTATTGAAGAAAATCTTCCGATATAGTAGCAAAAGAATATAATAGATAAATTCAACGCACGCATTTCTTTCCGAAACAACATAATAGCATCTAAACCTGGCAGACCTCACCACCACTCAACTCTCCTTGTCTGATATATCTGACTGTGTCGTAAGTTCTAATTTCGACCCTCAGATTCAACCATTTCTAGCTTCTTCTTGCAGTCCACTTCGGACCCTTTATAGTGCTCTGCTATTCTACTCCATGTATGGAGGGAGGTGCAAACCTGCTGCCTTAGGTCTTACTTACACGTCTGGCTGCAGTAGCGGCAATCGCGCACATTCCATCGTGGCCTCGTATATTAGGAGATTCCAAAGAGAAGCTCTTCTAGAAGCTACTGAGAGATGGCCCACCTTCAGGAATCTCAAGTAATATGCAAGTCTTGCTTCCGACTCGCAGAAGAGGAAAAGTCCCACGATAATCCTGGGTTTGCACTTTGCGTCGCTTCCATCCGTAATATCTATGGGTCGCATGAATCCCTGCATATAGTCGGATGAACAATCCAACACTTTTTTCGAGGCAAGTTCGTTGGCGAATCTCTCTCTCTATATATTGGGGATGGTGGCGTGTTCAGCCCTAATAGGATAGCATATCCAACCGTGAAGAGGAGTACAAGGGACCGCGCGTAGTATATTATGTGCTGTAGTTAGTTATACAGAAAACGAAAAGATAGAACAGAGGAAAGATAAAATAAACTCACCTGAACGATGTGCACACTACAAAAAGAATCATCGCAACAATTGACAAGATGATCATTGGAGCCGTTTCAGTGCCCATTCGCCGAACTTCAGCCGACACAAACGAGTCGTCAGTGACTTCGCCCTGGAATGTTGTTCATTTAGATGGGCTTTGCTTGTGTTGTTTTTGACTTGTTCTGTACTTGCTTCCAGTTTATTTGCTTCTTCATGTTGCAGTTGAAACGACCCATACATAGCCAGGGAAGGAAGATTAGGCGCTCGACCAACTTCCTTGAGAACTTTCTCTCCCATCCACTTTGAGATTCTCACGCAGCATTCAATAGAGCGCTATATATTATTTATACATGTGCTTCCCAGAGCCCTCAGCTGTTGCCGGATTGAGGCAGCCCGCCTATTTAGGTGCCAGATTCGCAACGTTGCGCGTTACAGCTCGTCGTCGTGCGGTAACGCACTGCAAATGTGGTGGAGGTGTAACATTTCGGTGTATTTACGTGGATTCTTACAAGTCTACTCATGACCACCACGTCTATCAGGCAAGAACAGCCAGGGGGTCAAGAGTGCAGGCTATTGGCTGCTCTCAGGAGGACCACGAGTTCGGACTCTGTCGGGGCGAAGATCGTGTCTAGCAAAGATTATAAAATGGTGCCATCACCGTGGCTATACAATCGTGATCCCTGGAAAATTTTGGCATGTGACGGGGTGTGGATTGGAGCATGGAAGACTTCCTCTTCAACTGTAGCGGGCTCAGATAGTCATCATTGGCGGGGAAGCCCGTCTTGGTCGTACCCCATTCCAAATTCCGTCGAACATACTACCGTTTGCAGGGATCACGATTTCACATAGGTTAGTAGGAACTGCAAAATCTCAGGAGTCTCATACTTCATTATACATTTTGAAAGAGGTTCGATTCGAGAATTTTCATGAAAACACCTGCAACAAAGCAAAGCGTTCTTCTTTGAACGGTTCGCGAGCGGCAAGCATCCATTTGTAGATGACATCGATATTCTCACGGTTGAACCACAACATAAAATGCCATGATTGCCGTCGAAAACGCTTCCAATTCATTCGTTCCATTCTTCAGCGTAATACCGTAGACGTTGTTACCTGGAATGTAGGAGGCACTAGATAATCTACATGATGCCATCCTGAGCTGGGTGACAAGACAATTTCATATGCCGCGCTAGTTGGCGTGACGGGCGATGTCGCGCCCCAAAAGACCACTCCTTGGCCATTTAATTTTGAGCACCGAAGGGAACGAAGAAGTACGATTTCGCTAGGAGTCTTTTCTCCGCTTCATACTAGTGTCCCTCTTCCAACTGAAGGATCTATGCACACCGTGGAATTGCTGCGCGATGCTTCGAACGTGACTATGGCTACGATTGCCCTTTTCATCTCCCGATTTGCTGGATGTTAGATGTGAAGGCATTGTACCAAAGAAATGTTGGCACCTCGTATCTCCTCTTCCAGTACGATCTCTATTCAGAACCGTAACGCCACCTTACTAAATTCTTTCTACTCCCCAGAAACTAACCATAAACAGTTTTCCGTAAATTATGCAGCCAACTAACAGGATGGACTATCACGAGTACTGGTTATGGAGTGGTTCTGCGGAGACGCCAACAAGGGAAGAGGGGGGGGAGGGGGGAAGGCTGTAACCTGTGTGAAAGGGAAACCTATCATAGGAGAAGTTTTCGACAGCTGATCAATCAATTTTCCGTACTCGCACGCATTCTACTTCCATTCAGACTCAAACTGAATCATAGTACGATGTGGACCATCATTCGCGGGGGCTAGTCGATGTAAAATGAGTGTTGTTATCCTCCCAGACGATTCTAATATCAACGGATTCCCCCAGAGGAGGAAAAGAGGCTTGCTTGGACTATGCGTGTGAGCCGAGGCCCAGCTTTTGAGTTTTCCGAAGGCGTGCGTAAGCGTCACTGTGCTGTAACACCACCTTGCGCTCGGACAGAAAACATCGCATTGATAAAATTTCGGACGAGCGTCACAGAAAAATTCTTTCTCACGGTAGGCGCTAGATGCAGCCCTCGCTGAATAACTCCGACCCCCCATGAGATTCTCCCAACGATGCTGTTCTTTCTCCCAAAAGAAACCTCGGTGGCAGCGACCTTGATACGAACAGATAAATGGAATTTCGACCGGCTGAAACTGCAAGTGGATTCGTGAAACTACGCAAGATTAGTTCAAGAGTAATCCAAGAAATTAACAAGTGTGCCTTAGAACGGCGAGAGGACGGGGTAACGCGGCCGGAGAGAGAACAACACATCTTTCAATAATATGAGCGTATCAAAAAACCAATTTTGTAGTAATTGCTGCCAAAGATTAATTTTGCGTGGATGGAATGGAACCGTTTTTTTTGACTCGATCGACATAATCGTATGGATTGATGGTGACTAGATAGAAAACGTGGAGAGGTCCTCGGGCAAGAAAACGCAGAAGAGCAAATAGCAGCTCGCGAACAGGTTCCACTGAGTGCGTTTCTCTAATAATAGCAGTTAACACCACTAGCGATCAGTGCATTTCCCGTCGGCAACACACAAACATTTGTGCAGCGAAGTCACACCAACACCACATACCCGGTGCAAAAATTAATGACAAACTTTGGAGTCAAGTAGTTCCATCTGATCCCAATTATCCCAGTGAGAGAATGGGAGGAGCTTCATTATTCCCAGAGGGATTAGGGTCCGACAGCTTGAGCCCATCGCTTCGGAATGGTAACGCTGATTGTTCCACCTGTACCAGGCGCGCAACATTCTGCCAAATACAATTCCTAACCATTTTCTGCCTCCAATCCGCCGTTTTCTCCTCTCTTATTCAGCGTACTATAAGCAAGTTACTATAACTTTTCTCGGAAGTTTGCCATCAGACGTAGGAGAAGGGTAGGGCGGGAAGAGGATTAGACACCATACGGTTCACTGGGCAATTCATTGAACCGCACTCTGGAAGGTGGTTCCGCACGGACTGGATTGGATAGGTAGTTTTGATCCGGCTCTCGTCTCCTCCTGATACGATACGAGCTGACGAAGCTGAGGCGGGGGGGAGCAGGAGAACCGCGAAAGCCACAATGGGACAATTTTTTCGCTAACGCGCCAAACTTCTCTCAGAAGGCAAGTACGATCCCCTCTCTGAACAACGAGAAAATGCTATCCTCCACACGCTCATAGCGTCCATGAAACAAGGAAAATCAACTGTCAAGAAAAAATTTTCTTGAACCAAATAAGACCCCCTCCCCCGGCGACCAAAAACGACCCTTCCCGCCCCCCTTGTTGGGGATTCCACAGCGATGGTGTGCCCTCCGGTCGACTATCACAAATAGTAATTCCAGGACCCAGTCAAGTAGAAGTAATCAAAGGCACCCTCTCCAACTAGGAAAGACGCTCTCCCATGTCGAAGTACCGTGTGAGTAAATTCGTCCTTGTGCCGTCTGCGTCCTCTTAAGGACTGTTCACAGACAAGAAGTCGCCGCTTTGCACCCAACTAACTCCGCAGGCTTGTTAACGCACTTCCTTTTATTACTATTTGGCAAAGTGCTTGCCAAATCTGAGCGTCATGCAACACGTTGGGAAACCAGTACCATACTGAAAGAGCTCAAAAAGCGCAGAATTATTAGCTGTTCTCTTGCTTCTGTGCGTGGCTCCCGCCGATACTCTATGATTATTGTGGAATTAGCGTCCCTGCAATCACTAATGTTGCAAAAAAGGGGACGTGTAAAGGGGTGCAGATTAGACACCGATAGGCTACGTGACGCTCCACAAGTTAGATATCTACTACGTGACAAATGTAAAGTGATGTTTGATGTCACGAAAATGCAAAAATTGTAATGCTGCACCTCGACCATTGCGTTCAGTAAAAAGTCCCGTGGCCCGAACAATAAATTTCTGAGACTGATCGTTTTACTTTGTCAAAGGCGACCGCAGGTACGAGGTCCAATGTTCAATGTTCCCACTTAGGGTCAACACCCATAACTCAGCATTCTTGTGGTAACTTTCGGAAGTGGGAGCTGTGGCATTAAATAACACTTGCCATAATAAAACATCTATCCAAGACTGTTCTTGTAGCACTCACCAATGAACGCTTGTGTGCCGAATATATCCACCTGTGGATATGTGTGCGTTGAAGGGATTTCAGGATCGTATAGTTTCAAGAACGCCAGAAAAGCGGCATTCATATCACAGTAGGGTTCACAGAGATCGCGATATTCAAATACTCGTCCATTGACTTCAGCCGTAACGTTGTCCTGCAACGTTTTTGCCAGCTCGATGAGATGGTGTCGGTACGTCTCACGAAGAAGCGATCCTCCATCAGTCGCTGTTACCATCACATAAGCTGGATCAAGTGAACCGTTCTGAAACGAAAAATTGGTTAGCAGGTCTTTGAGAGTTAGCGCTCCTCGGAACTATGTCCCCATTAGGCAAAGTTCCTCTGATTTCATATTCTCATATTCTTTTAACCCTTTTCATACATTATGACTTTTTGCGATGTCATGAAAGCATGACGGGACGCTCTCATTTGTCCTTTTGCATACCTGCCTATTCTGGTTAATTTCTCAAGGTGGAGGCTTCTCACTACAACACTTGTTTCGTAGAGACGCAGGTGAGACAGACCCTAACCGGATAGGCTTCCCTCCAGGATCCAGA